TATTAGTAGGAACAGGAGATCCTATAACATTCTGGACAAAAACTGTTGAATCTCTTCTTAAAAACTTCCATTGATGGAGCACCCACAGCTTCTGGAGGCAAGCTGTCCCACTGATTAATTGTTCTCACTGACAGGAAATTTCTCCTTAATTATTTACATCCATTACTTCTTGTCCTACCCTCCGGTGCTTTAGAGAATACTTCGGCACTCTCTTCTCTTTGACAGGTCCTCAAAGTTACATCCTGTGAGATCATCATAAAACTTCTGAAGTTTCCAGAAATTCCATTTTTACCCTTGTGCATTCTATTTTACAATTCATTCTGACTTTGTTGTTATATATAGATGTGGTTTGTGCTTACTTATTCCAGAGGTGGGTTCCTACCAATTCGGACCAGTTCGGCCAAGTAGGTAGTAACTCACACGCCCAAACTGGTTCTATGCTTGATGGTGCCATCTTGATTTTCTGTTCTACACATGCGCAGAACGATCTTCATTGGAAAAATGTTATTTAATGTGCCCATGCGAATACCCTTTAAGGTGCAAATGTGTACATGCGGGGAACTACTTTTTTTGCTGACTTATTACATACCTTGCGTAGCCTAGGGTGGAATACAGTAAGAATATATAGTACTATACTTTATACTTTCTTTGATAATATTATGTTGGTTACAGCTTTGAGAGGTTTTTTTTCATATCATATTTTTGAGGGCATGATTGTATGTAATAGTGTCCTTGGTCATTAGAAGATGCAAACTGAACCAAGATTCTTTTAGTATGTGCATGTGTGATCATTAACAGAATTTTGGTTTTTTTAATATTCTGATTAAGAACTAATTATGAATAATTACTGTGGGGCTCAGGCAAGAAGACCATTTATATTTAAAGTTGCATGCAACCTGGCAGCATAATTCAAAGTGGTCTGCTACAAAGACAGCTATTAGGATTTTATTGAGAGAAAAAGTAGAACCAAAATGTACACAAGGAATAAAGTACAGAGACAGAGAAGTAATTCTCGTGGTTCAGTCTCTTATGTATGCTGAAATATTCTTGTTTGTCTCCTAACTAGCGCTTTGCATCTCCTCCTCTTTCTCTTTCTCCTGTCTGCATTACCTTATTGGTATTCTTTTCCTTTTTTTATTTTGCTCTTTAAGTTTGGAATTTATTGCCTCAAGTTACTTGTCTATGAATCTGAATCTGTTTCTCTTTTTCAAAGTGCTTGAAGGGTCATGAGCTTTTATAGCTTTTCCTTATTAATTGAGATGTTGCCCTCAGATTTAAATAGGTAAGTAATGGGCTGAGTATAGAACCTTGCTTTCAGGTTCTTCAGAAATCACTGTGATGTAACAGATTTATGGATCATTGTGCTGAAAGTACTGAAGATTGCAGGAATGTAGGGAAAGTTAATAGGCCTTTGTTTGAATAGTGCTTCATCTTTTTAATCCTTTTTCTTAACACACACCCACACCCACATTAGCGTTGCTTGCTAACATATGGATGCTATTTCTTGACAGGAACCTTTCTCTTAAGTTATCCAAGGAAGTGGATCGAGGGGAAGCACGATGTCCTCGTATGAACCAGCTGGCCAACAGCCCATCTATAGAATGGCCTTTCGCCGCCATGGAGGAAGGGGGCGGTCTAGAATCTCTGCCCTTCCGGCTGATGATGCAAGACTGCACAGCAGTAAAAACATTGCTGTTGAAAATGAAGAGAGTTCTCCAAGAGGTATGCTTTTAAAGGATCAAAACAGTACCATTTAAAAAATAATAATGATGATGATGGATGCGATTGACCACTAAAGAATGATCACTTTATTATATTTGCAAAATCATTGTTTGAACATGATTATTCTTAAAGATGCTCTATTAGATATTCTTAATGATCAGAACTTGGTAACAGTGGCTCTATTTTGCAATATCAATTATGGGTAGGAGAAGAAATAAACTATTTTTGTTTACAAGAGCAGGCAAAACCATAGTGAAAAACTAAAAAAAAAAAAAATAGAATGGAAGGGAAGGGAATGGAATGGGAATGGAAATAGGAATAGAATAGTACTTTATTTGACCAAGTGGTGTGATTAAACACAGAAGGAATTTGTCACCCAAGTGAAAAAAGGAATGAAGAGATAGTCAGAAAGCATTAGGATGCCAGTCAAGTTTGAAACAATAAATAAAAGCTTATTGGGATCTTATTGACTTGACATATAATGGTCTCTGGTCATGTGAAATATTTGTGGTATCTTTTACAGATGGCCACATAGCAGTGGTGAAATTTATTTATTTTTTTACTACCGGTTGTGTGGGTGTGACTTGGTGGGCATGGCAGGGGAAGGATACTGCAAAATCCCCATTCCCATCCCACTCTGGGGCCAGCCAGAGGTGGTATTTGCTGGTTCTCTGAATTACTCAAAATTTCCGCTACTGGTTCTCCAGAACCTGCTGAATTTCACCCCTGCCACATAGTCAAGTAGCCATTAGATCTCTCAGCCATGCAGGTAGATCAATATTCATCCATTTCAGTAATGTTTTAAGCATTCTGTTGGAAGACGTGAAGTAGATCTGGACACTCTGAAGAGCTATCAGAAATTTATGTAGCAACTGCTTCGCTGAAAGTATTGCGTGTGAAATGGTGACCTTGCTGTTATGTTAAATTGCGTTTCACTGGTACAGGCATTCTCACTTCAGGTGAGAATTTGAGGAGATTAGGAACATCTGCTTCTGTTTTTGTCTCTCACTTGGTTTGCCCCACACCTAAACCACAATTATTTTCATTATTGCTTATTTAAACAAACCAGATGTAGAACTTCAGTTTGACCTTCGTTTAATCAGATAAACTGCAAGGAGCAGAAAAGAATGTATTTATTTTTCTTGTACTCCTATGAGCAGAACAGGTGGCAGGGAGAATAACACAAGGATCAGACTCATCTATGTAGTTTGAAGATGGAATGAAGTATTGAATCCAGACATGTCAGTGTAAAATTGTTTTCTGTTGTGCTAACACTATGACTTACAAATGAAAGCCATCAACCAATGCTTGATAGTGGATGTATATACAGTATATATTGAATGGCATTGTTCAATGGACTTTGGACTTAAGAGCCAAGGTGGCGCAGTGGTTAAATGCAGCACTGCAGGCTACTGCTAGATCAGCAGGTCAGCGGTTCAAATCTCACCGGCTCAGGGTTGACTCAGCCTTCCATCCTTCTGAGGTGGGTAAAATGAGGACCCAGATTGTTGGGGGCAATATGCTGACTCTCTGTAAACCGCTTAGAGAGGCCTGAAAGGCCTATGAAGCGGTATATAAGTCTACTGCTATTGCTATTGCTATCTACTGCTATTTTGCTATTTTACAATGTTGGGAAGAAACTCATAAATGAATTCCCATTGTGATACGACGTTACATATATTTTTGGAAGGTTTGGGATTAGAAAATACTTCAGATTTTTTAATTAAAAAAACCCCAAAGCCTGAAAGCAATGTATGGAAAATGTACATTACTGTTATATCAGAATATAAATATGAAGAACAGCAGGAATGTTCCAAACATATAAAATAACATCAAAATGCTAATTCTGTCAGCCTGTCCATAATTAGGCATATATTTATGGAAAGGAGGGCTAGAAACTTTGTAAAACGTTTGTGTAAAAATACAAATAGCTGATTCTGGAATTTATAAAATCAATAACTAGCAGTCATGATGATCAGTTTTAGCATTATACCTGCAGGAGGTTTAAATAAGGGTTTTATACTATAGATCCGTGATGGTGGACCTATGGCGTGCCACAGGTGGCATGGGGAGCCATATTGGTGGGCATGCGAGCTCAGCTCCGGCGCACTGACCACCTGATTTTCAGGTCTTCTGGGCCCACCAGAAGTTGGCAAATGGGCTTTTTTTTTGGCCTCCGGGGGGGGGGAGCAAAAATGGGTCCGCTGTGCCATTGCATGCCAAAAGCATGGGGAATGTGGGTGTGGTGCATGCGCAGTGTCCAGGCGCATAGAATTATGGGTATGGGCACGTGCATGTGTGACCCCCGTGTGCGCTCCCTGCTTTTGGCACACAATGGCAAAAAGATTAGGCATCACTGCTATAGATCTTTCTCTCTGAGGCCAATAGTATCTCCAAATTTCTAACAACTTAAGAGGCATTTATAAAAGTATTCAGTTGTAAATCTCTCCAGGTATTTTTTTTCTAAACAAGGTTTTAATTAACCAGCACACCATTACACATTTATTGAATAAATCTCAATTTAAAGCAAACTTTTTCAAATAATGTGTGCTAAAAGTGTCATAATTTTGTACCAGTTTAAAATACATTAAATATGAATATTGTCCTTAATATTGTTCTTCAATATTGCAATTGTCATTTTATAAATGTGCCTTTATTTATTGTTATGGTTAATGGCTTCTGACAACAATGTAGTAATATATCTCCAGCCACCTGTTTATTTTGCTTCAGTATCTGTTTGCCATCCAGTTACAAATCATGTTGTTTGTTGATATGAAATTCAGTCCATTGCTGTTCCTTTTCAGACAGAACTGTTATGAATAATTACTGAAGGATCATCATACAGGAGGGAAGAACAATTCTTTTGATCCTGCTTTTTCTCTCATTTAATTATTAAAAATAAAGCTGAAGATAATTTATCCTTATTCAATTTTCTGTCAGACACACTCCTGGTGAAAACTGTTATTCAAGGATTCCCAAGTTGAGTTGGAAAGCTGAATATGATGAATATGAGGATTCTAAACATATACACAGTCAACATTTTTTACTACTGGTGTGGCTTGGCTTGGTGGGCATGGCAGGGGAAAGTTACTGCAAAATCCCCATTCCCTCCCCACTCTAGGGGAAGGTTACTGCAAAATCCCCATTCCCTCCCAATCAGCTGGGACTTGGGAGGCAGAGAATAAATAGGGGCAGGGCCAATCAGAAGTGATATTTACTGGTTCTCTGAACTATTCAGAACTGGCCATAACCTGCTGAATGCCACCTCTGTTGTGTATTTATTTGTAAATATTTCCCCTTAAAAGAAATCCAAAGAGCAAATTTTCTAGTTCATAAATTTTGGCATTTCTTGTATTGCTTTAGGCCAATTATTCCAATGCCTTGGCAATGGAGCTGAGGAACCCCATTTCTTTTTCGGGGTCATTTGCACTTCAAATAATCTGCATATAAAAGATTATTCTCTCACACACAACAAGGAGTGAATGGAACATGCTCCATTCCTTTCATAGTGTGAATAATTTTGGACTAAATGAGGTG